TGATTTTTTACAGAGAGGAAGGGAGAGGGATAGACAGTTAGAAACATCAATGAGAGAGAAACATCGATCAGCTGCCTCTTGCACACCCCCTCCTGGGGATGTGCCCGCAACCAAGGTACATGCCCTTGACCGGAATCGAACCTGGGAACCTTCAGTCCGCAGGCCGACGCTCTATCCACTGAGCCAAACCGGTTAGGGCCACATGTCTGGGTTTTGAGCTGAATCCCCAGTAGTGGGAATGCAGGAGGCAGCCGATCGATGTTTCTCTCACAGATGTTTCTATCTCTCTATCCCTCTCTCTCCCTCTCTCTAAAATCAATAAAAATAACTTTAAAGCACATTTAAAAAGAAAAGAAGCCCACACGGCCATTTACCTGTTTTATGCTCTCCAGCCCATCTTCACTCTCAACAAAGAACTTAACTTTTGGGCGCTGTATTTCAGGTGAGGTGATTCGACAGGAAACCAAAGTCTCGGCCTCTCGACAGGACATTCTCGCTAAAAACACAGTTCGTGAAGCCAACAGAGTGCGTTTCACGAGCAACAGTCCCACTCCAGGAGGACACTTGGATGGCCACAGAGCAGAGGAGCCACACAGGTGGAGGGGGCAGAAAGGGAGGCGCGTGGCGGCTGCCCAAGAGAAAGACGGCCGTCTGGTTCCAGTCTGCGAAACGAGGGAGAAGCTTGCGCCTCCGCAGGGAGATCCCACCAGAAAACACACCCCCCAAAATATTTTGCATCCAGACTGTGTCTTAAGGAGTAACCACAAAACCTCCGAAAACAGCGAGGACGACAGAGGATTGCGGCAGCGCGTTCGATCAGCTCCGAGTGTGAGAACTCCAACAGAGCGGCGATCGGTCACGCCGGTCAAGAATCAGAATCGTGTGCTTCCTGATAAAACATTTCGGGGGGTAAATGTCTCTGAATTGGGGAAAGTCTTTCCGGAAGACTGTGTCCTTAGGGCACGCGAGACTCCCGTTCAAGAGAAAGTTTACGGGTCCAGCGAGCGTGAAAACATTCCCCGAAGGAACCCGACGCCTGCTGTGCTGATGCAATCTTATCCAGCGCAGACGAAGAACAAGAATAATCCAAGTGGGAAAAGCTTCGCCCACGTTCCACATGCTGAGTCACACAGGAGCACGCGGAAAGGAGAGAAAAACTATAGGTGTCAAGATTGTGGGAAATCCTACGCTTATCATTCGTACTTTATGAAACACAGGAGCATTCACACTGGAGAGAAGCCCCATGCATGTCAGGAGTGTGGGAAAGCCTTCCGATATTCGCTACACCTCAAGAAACACTTATTCAGACACATTGCGGAGAAGTCCCATAAATGTAAGGAGTGTGGGAGAGCCTTCCACAAGTCCTGGACGCTCACCATGCACACGAGGACCCACACTGGAGAGAGGCCCTATAAGTGTGCGGAGTGTGGGCAAGGCTACACGAATAATTCATCGCTTAAGAGCCATCTGAAGAAGCACAGCTAAGAGAGGCCCTCCGAAGGAAAGGGAGGTGGGGAAAGCTTCGCTTTTCTCAAAATCCTGAATGAGTGGAGAGGACATGTTGGAAGGGAGCTCAATAAGTCAACGGACAGGGGAAAGTCTTCCGTTAGCTCTTGCATCTTACAGAAATGGGGAATTGCACACTGGAAAGAAAGCCGGTGAAGGTAAGATCTGTGGAAAGCTTTTAACCTTCATCTTTTTTTTATCAATTGTTGACACTATTACAGATGTCTCCCATTTTTCTCCCCTTTGCTCCCCTCTACCCAGTCCCTCTCCCCCTCCCGCAGCCTTCACCTCATTGTTGTCTGTATCCATGGGCTATGCCCATATGCATAGATGTTCTTTGGCTAATCTCTTCCAGTGCCCCCACCCTCCATCCCCTCTTGAGATCTGTCCGTCTGTTCCATGTATCCAGGCCTCTGGTCCTATTTTGTTTGCTAGTTTATTTTGTTCATTAACTTCCACATATAAGTGAGATCATACCCTATGTGTCTTTCTCTGACTGGCTTATTTGCTTAACATAATAATCTCCGTGTTCGTACAAACTGTCATAAAAAGTAAGATTTCTGCCCTAGCCGGTTTGGCTCAGTGGATAGAGCCTCGGCCTGCAAACTGAAAGGTCCCAGGTTCGATTCCGGTCAAGGGCACGTGCCTGGGTTTTGGGCTCGAGCCCCAGTGGGGGACTTGCAGGAGGCAGCTGATCCATGATTCTCACTCATCATGGATGTTTCTATCTCTCCCTCTTCCTTCCTCTCTGAAATCAATAAAAATATATTTTTTAAAAAGTAAGATTTCCTTCTCTTTTTTACAGCTGCATAGTATTCCACTGTGTACATGTACCACAGCTTTTCTATCCACTCACCTACTGATGGGCACTTGGGCTGTTTGCAGATCTTGGCGCTTGCAGATAATGCTGCAATGGACACGGGGGTGCACACATTCTTTTGAATTAGGGTTCCAGGTTTCTTTGGGTATATTCCTGCAAGTGGATTCACGGAGTCATAAAGCAGTTCCATTTTTAATTTTTTGAGGAAACTCCACACCGTTTTCCGCAGTGGCTGCACCAGTCTGCATTCCCACCAGCAGTGCACGAGGGCTCCCTTTTCTCCACATCCTCGCCAGCACTTGTTTGTTGATTTATTGATGACAGCCATTCTGATATCTCATTGTGGTTTTAATTTCCATTTATCTGATGATTGGTGACGCTGAACATCTTTTCTCATGTCTGTTGGCCATCTGTGTGTCCTCTTTGGAGAAGTGCCTGTTCACATTCTTTGCCCATTTTTTAATTGAATTATTTTGTGTGTGTTTTTGTGTGTTTTGTTTTGTTTTTGGTGTTGTTATATATAAGTTCTTTATAAATTTTGGATATTAACCCCTTATCAGATGTATCACTGGTGAATATGTTCTCCCATTCAGTGGGTTGTTTTTTTCCATTCAGTGTTATTGGGGGTTATTTTGTTGGTTTTTTTTTTTTTCAGTCTTTGCATTTTGTTGATGGTTTCCTTTGCTGTTCTTTCCATTTTTTAAAGATTGGGAAAATGAACCCTGGCCGGGTAGCTCAGTTGGTTAAAGCATCGTCCCAATACGTCAAGGTTTAGGTTCGATCCTCAGGGCACATACAAGAATCAACCAATGAATGTGTGAATCAGCAGAACAACAAATTGATGTTTCACTCTCCCCCCCCCTTCCTTTCTCTCTCTAAAGTCAGTAAACATTGAAAAACACTATATAGTTCACTTATTTAAATAATAATAGTAAAAATAAAGATTGGGAAATGTGACAACTAAAAGCGTATGAAAATGTCCGCACAGATTTAAAAGTCAGTAAGGTGATGGCCACACCCCACCATCCGTGTCTACACACATTTATCCTGAAATGCCAGGCAGTCCTTTCTGGTCCTTACAGGTGATGCCCCCTGACCCCCAAGAGGAAGCCACTGTCTTCCATTTTAGATTATTCATCCTCTTGCTCATCTTTGTATTCACCACCTGTGCTAAATCCCCGAATATCATATTTGCTGTTTGGGCTGATAGTTCTGTATCTTGCTTCATTCGGAGAAAGAAAGATGAACCCGGGTGGGCTGCAGGTGTTACTTGTTCTTCTTCGCTGCCCTGTGGGTTATTTTTTAGTTAAATTCACGTCAGAGACCCTGCGTGTCTCACTGTAGATACTGCAAACACTGCTGCTAAAACTGCCTTTGCATTGAGTGGGTCTCCGGTTGGAATCGAAGTGGAATCGCTGGGTTGTACGATCCACATATGACGCATACAAAAGTGTTTTACACAAACTAGGATTGTATGATTCCATTCATAAGGAGTTTTCGGGAAAAGGCACATCCTTAGAGACAGTGAGACAGAGCAGAACCCGCTCGCGGCGGGACACGGGCGCCACCTGGCGGCGGATTGCTGTAGGACAACAGCGCGGCCGGAACCCGAAATGTTTGCTTTAGGACAAAGGGAGTTACTGTCCCACGTTAAGGGCCAGTTATCTGGGAATCAGTGTACGAAGCTGGGAGCCCTCGACGAGTGGCTTCCAAACTTTTCTGAGGCACATCCAGAAGTCATTTCACATCGACAACATGGTTTC